TTAATCGGGGGTTAAATTTTAAAAAGGGATGAATTTTCATTTTGGTGAACGATATTGATCAAGATCGAAATTTTCGGAAACGAATTAACAGTTTGAGGACTTATCAATATTACACAGGCAGACGATTTGTTTGACAGCATTACATCGGCAGACGCCTGTCAAATTTGTAATTTTCAAGTTTTAGTGAACGACATTTATCAAATTTTGTTTTTTTGCAAATCGATTCCTCTACTAACGTACTCTCAGAAAAAATATCGGCAGACGAAAAAGACGGCAGCGTTTTTTTGGCAGACGCTGGAATAATGGGTAGTGTGAATAAAAATTTAGTAAAAGCTTTATCTTGCATTTTCTAAGCAAATACTTACTTTGCAGTGAATAAAAGTGAGTATTAGCTTTAACTAAAAATTCAATTAGTAAAAGCTATATATAGTTTTTCGCATTGTCTTTAAATGGTGTGAATAAAAGTAAGCAATTCCTAATTATATGAAGTAAAAGCTTACATTTTTGCAAGCCTGGTAAACCTTGGCTTAAACATTCGACATTTTGGGGGTATCAGACTCCCCCAATTTGCCATTATTTTTGTCGGCCAAGTTGATTTTCGTGATTTAGACATAAAAATCAAACATTATTCGTAAAATTAGATTTACATGTATCAAGAAACATAACCTCGTCAGATCGACATTTTGGGGGTGTCGGACTCCCCCAATTTGCCATTATTTTTGTCGGCCAATTTGATTTCCGTGATTTAGACATAAAAATCAAACATTATTCGTAAAATTAGATTTACATGTATCAGGAAACATAGCTACGTCAGATCGACATGTTTGCGAGTCGCCTGCGCGCATACGTGCCATTTCCGAGAAAAGTCGTAGAGGAAAAAGTTGTCGGACTTGATGTAAGCAAGCCACTCACAAAGTATGGGGTTTACATGTATAACTGAAAAAAAAGGTCCTTGGATGGTTGATCATTAAGTTTATAAGTGTTTGACTATATTTAATTGTATTAATTTAAACCACTTATTTACAGATGTTATTTCCGTATTTTTCCTCAACAGAGATTCCACGCCAAACTGTTACTTTTGGGGTATTTCGCTATTCTTACTGGAACTTGTTAAGTTCTCGTGGAAAAGTTATTTAAACTTAGTTGATGTCCAACTACAAACACATTTAAAAATTGTTTGCCATAGTGATTGCAAGTACATACTTACAACATGAAGCTGCCATGCTTATGCTAAAATACCAGGATTTAGATTTCAATTTTTTACGGCTAAAACTTTAAGTTTTAAGGATGATGCTTATTGGTACATGGATACCTTTAGCATGACTTTTTTTTGACGTTGTGATATACAGGGTGTTCCATTAAAGATAGTGGAGAATTTCGATGTTGAAAAACGGATGTTTTTGACTCACCCTGTATGAGAGGCAAGAAAATTTGTAACCTTCTTAAAAAAACTTTAGGCCAGGAGAAGTAGCTCCATTTTTGTCCATTGCTTCTACGAAATTTGTCATAAAAGCCCTAGTTTAATATGCAACGGTGGCAATAATACTATTTGTGGGTCAACTAAAGGGTCATTTTTTTGTCCAGGTTGAAGTGACTGACGTTGACTTCAGACCGTATTTATGTAATGCACATTTCTATCTCGACTATCTCATTCGCAGATAAAACAACAAAATTTCGTGTACCTAGCCCATTTGTAGACCAAGCAGAAGAGCTACGACTTTCAAATCTGCACAGATTTGCCATCGATGTTCATCATACTTAATCCGCAACAAAAGGCTTTTCATATTTTCATAAGACTTCTTTCATATTGACTGCGTGACCAATAGAAATCGACGGTAAAATATTTCCGTTATGTAGCAAAACAGCTTTTAAACTTAGCTTAGAGCTAACTATGGAGAGTTTCCATTCGTTTTGTACATAGAAAATATTGAGTGCTCTCATCAAACCACTGACATCTTCACAAAAAACTAAAATTTCCACCATAGCAAAATATTGCATCAACTCTTTTTGTCTAGTACGGAAAGAAGTTACGGCCTAGAAATTCTGTTTTGCTCTTTGGCAATGCTTAGTCCCTTACGAGATCGTCTAACTCAGCTTGCGTTATCTTGTGTGGCTGTGATGATGTACTAGGTGCTTTGAAATCTGACATTGATAAAGTTAATGGTGAACTGTCTGTGCTTTCATCTTCTTCGTCGTTGCCAATGTTGGGACGCTCCGGGTTTGAGTGAATATTGCTGTGCGGCAGAGGACAAGTAGCCGTTGGTACATTTGGATATAAGGTACTATGGCTAGGGATGGCAGTGTTTGCCAAAGTGATAGCAAGTACAGTACATACCTACAACATGAAGCTGCCATGCTTATGCTAAAATACCAAGATTTAGATTTCAATTTTTTACGGCTAAAACTTTAAGTTTCAAGGATGATGCTTATTGGTACATGGATACCTTTAGCATGACTCTTTTTTTGACGTTGTGATATACAGGGTGTTGTATTAAAGATAGTGGAGAATTTCGATGTTGAAAAACGGATTTTTTTTACTCGCCCTGTATGAGAGGCAAGAAAATTTGTAACCTACTAAAAAAACTTTAGGCCAGGAGAAGTCGAATGGCGCAAACCGCAGGTCGCTAGCACAACTAGTTTAGAAGCTATAAGCATTTCAAATGGTTCACTCTCGGCTGGGACACCCTGTATATGACAAAATTTGATAGTGTCTGCCAAAATTGTGCTGTCAAATAAATCTTCTGCCTATTTGAATTTTGAATACACTAGAGCTGCTCTAACGCTTTCATGAATATCAGCTATTATCAGTTGTTTACCATAAATCAACTTTTCATTATTCCAGCGTCTGCCAAAAAAACGCTGCCGTCTTTTTCGTCTGCCGATATTTTTTCTGAGAGTACGTTAGTAGAGGAATCGATTTGCAAAAAAACAAAATTTGATAAATGTCGTTCACTAAAACTTGAAAATTTCAAATTTGACAGGCGTCTGCCGAAGTAATGCTGTCAAACAAATCGTCTGCCTGTGTAATATTGATAAGTCCTCAAACTATTAATTCGTTTCCGAAAATTTCGATCTTGATCAATATCGTTCACCAAAATGAAAATTCATCCCTTTTTAAAATTTAACCCCCGATTAAAGCTGCTACCCTGAAACGGCAGACAGTCAGTTTTGGTATGTCCAGGTAACCCTCAATCATGATTAATTAATAAAAATTTTGATCAATATCGTTCACCGAAAAACCTGCCAGCTCCTATACTATCAAGCCAGAGATGTAGGTACATGAAATTCTACAAGATAAATCTAAGAAATATGCTGACAAGAACAGAAGAGAAGCACCTATATTCCAGTGTGGTGAAAAAGTTCTTGTTGATAGTCACTGCCTTAGTAATGCTAAATATTCTTTTTCAGCTAAATTTGCTCCAAAAAGAGATGGCCCATATCAAATTAGGAAAATGTTATCCCCAACTACTTATGAGATTTCATCACTAGATGATTCACAAAAACTACTCGGAAAATATCATGTGTCAGCATTGACCAAATTTAAAATTTAAATCCGACGACAAAGTTGATCTGGCACCTATTAGACCATTGAGAAAACGTGGTAGACCCCGTAAAGTTGTAATTGAAAATGATGAATTTGAAGCTGATTTAAGTGATAGTGTCTGAGGACCATTATCCCTGCTGTATTTATTTTATTTATTTATTTATTATTATAATTTTTTTGTTACTCCATTTACGGGACGTTTCATGGAGTAAAGGGGGATGAGTAATGTAACAAAACTACCTTTATTACTTGTTTTTACCAGTCATTCTTGGGACAGGTTTTTTAATGTTAATGTCAGTGTGTTAAACTTTTGTCAAGTTGTCACATTATTTTTTAATTTTGTAATCACTTTTACTCAATATATTTCTCAATTCGTATCTTGCACATCCGTTTTCTTGTCAATTCAGACAATCAGAAGATAGTTCAATAGAAGAAACACTACAACGTAGAAGATCCCCAATCTCCACTACATTATAAAATATACCTACCAGTTTGAATAATTTTGGTGCAGAAATAGCGCTGGTGTTTTTCCTAAATTTGTTAGCAATAAACTGCCCCTTAGTGGCTTCAATGGAAAATACTTTTAAAGCAACAAAAAACAAAAAGCCTTTTGAGAGTTATTAGGTCTGTTTCAACACGTCAAAAAACCATCCCATAAACGGTTTCAAAACCGAATTTTGGATTCTTCGCACAAATTTTAGGTTTTCCGCAGAATCGTGGTACATTGTACGGTTCACCTTGGTCAGCAAATTAGGCATGACCAATTTAGGAACCATGTCCTGCATCCTGCATTGTAGGTATGTAGCCCTCGATGTAGCCTTTCTCAGCTAACCGGTATCTACTCAACGATCAACCCTAACTAAAATGACAAACGGAATAACACATCCTAATGAAAGTGCTCATTCGTAGCACATTTTTAAAATTAATTTTCGGAGAACTGAGGAAGCGCCAAATTTTTAATTGGTGTATCTAATCCAATGAAATCTAATCGCACTTAAAGAGCGCCTAGAGTTTATATCTCGCAATATTGTTTTTGATACCAAATAGTTAATTAGAAAAACTCAAGGAAGCATCAAAATAGTTATTTAGAGCACCTAATTAACACTCAAAAAGCAACTTAATTCGACAAATTCTAAACTAAGAAAGCACTGAATTTCTAATTAGGACAGCTAATTAGCACTTAAAAAGCACCTACAATTAATATACCGCAATTACTAGCACAAAGTTCAGGTTCAGGTTGTGAGGAGGGACAGGCGAATAGATTCTCTAATACCTACCTACATCATTAAAGTTTTAATTAAAATACAAGGTCAAATATTTATAAAATTCAGTAATATAAGGTATTTTGTTTTGCAGCTATTTGGCGACTTTGCGCTATCAGTTTATATATTTACTTCCTGATAAAAGCACTTGAGTTTTTGTGCTACATGTCTAATGTCTAATTGAAATTGATTAGTGCCGGCCGATCCCAGAATTATACTTGTGATCAGACAAGTTTGATAAGTATAATGTCTCTTCAAATTAATTGGCAAGCTATTGCAGCTACAATAATACCTAATGTAGGAGGAATTGCAGGTATTTTTGTGATCCTTATTTAACCTAAAAAAAAAATATTAAAAAATTACCATAATTTTCAGGTGGATTTATCACAAGACAAGCTATACCGAAGTGGTATGAAGGCCTTAAGAGACCAGAATGGAGACCACCAAACAAGGCCTTTGGCCCAGTCTGGACTACCCTTTATTGCAGTATGGGTTATGCTTCTTATTTGGTGTTTAGGGATGGAAATGGCTTTGGTGGAAGTGCCAGATTACCATTGATTGTTTATGCCAGTAATGTGGCCTTGAACTGGGCTTGGACTCCAATTTTTTTTGGTGCCAGGCGTATAGATTTGGTAAGTCATTGCATCATTTTATTTTAACAAATATTTATTCATTATTTTTTAAGGCTCTATGTGAAATGCAATTGGTCAACGCTACAGCAGTGGCGACTTGCTACTTGTTCCATCAAATAAATCCTGTAGCAGGATACTTGATTATTCCCTATTGTATGTGGTTAGGATTGGCTACCGCTTTGAACTACGCAATTTGGAGGGACAATAGGGGAAGTGCAACAATTGAAGAAGTTAAAGACAAGTGAAATCAAAAATCTTGAACCTATATAATCCCTTATTTCTGTGTGGCGCACCTACCTCCGACAAAGCAATATTGTTACAAAAACTTTTTAATAAACTACCAATATCTATATTGAGATTTTTTTAATTTGGTATATGTATTTCATAATATTTATGATGTAGGTATTGCCACAGTTTGCATTGCTAATTTTGGAATTGATGATAAGATAATCTACCCTAGCCGCTTTACTTGGTTTTTGAGGGAACCAACTCGGGAATTTATCAGGGTGAATGCTCAAAGCCTTAAAATTTTATGAGCAATATCTTTTGTTATTTTTGTCTGCTTGGTTGCAACATCGAAGAGGAATATTTTTTTCTGAATAAAAATCTTACAGTAGGATACATAAGAATGGGAAGACAAAAATCTCTCTAGTTGTCTGGAGCATTTTTATTCCTGCTAAAATAATTGAAACAAGTAATGAAAAAAATAGCAAGCAAAATTTTGGATCCCATTGGGAACGTGGTGCAGCACTTTTTGCTCTAAGTGCAACTTGTTCCGCAAGAACTCTTTGGAGGTCTTGCAGCCGGCACTAGGGCAATATGCTCTGTTGTTATCTGTTCCTTCCGTGTCTACCGGTGATATCGGTCTACCCATGTTACAAACTGTGATGTTAGGGAAGGTTTGTTTATTGTTACGTTCCTTTATGCAATTTTTTTGATCCAAACCGTGCCTTCATTCACTCCGGATCAGGGGTGCGATTTTCGAAACTATTCGAGTACATTTCGTACACGAAATTTAACTGACAGCAATGTTAGTTAAATGGAGAGCAGTCAAATTTCGTGTACGAAATGTACTCAAATGGTTTCGAAAATCGCACCCCAGAACGAGTTTATCTGACGGCCGTTCCCATATTACATTTTGAAGCATCCGGAGCAAATCTTTTTCCTCTGTTTAATGCATTAATGGCCATTTCCACCAACTATTTTAGGGAAGCCCTAACGATAGGTATGCCTTAAACTGACATTTCTCCATGTAAAAATGTCATTTTAGGGAATACTTACCGTTAGGGCTCTCCTAAAATAGTTGGTGGAAACGGCCATAAGTCGAGTTAAAACGGTATAGGTCGAAAAAAACCATTCCCAAATGGTATAATCTTGTTAGAATAATCATTTAAAATCGACGAAAAAACAAGCACAACCTGAATCGCAACCATCCCATCGAGACCTGCGGGTGAGGTCACCACTATAAGTTGCTATGCTGCTAATACTGGTGACGTCACTTGCAGGAATTGCCGAATCGAGAATTGGCGAAAGTACTCCTTATAAGCAATCCTGTTAGTTCACGATTCTTGTTACTCCCGCTGTTCTGGAATCACGTGACCCCAAATCCCTGTAGCTCCAAACCAAGGTTGCTCCAATCTACCTCGACTTGGATATTGGAACGTAAGGTTTGTGTCGCACTAACTTGGACTGAGCGCAAGATATTTCAGATTTGTGGCATCACCTGAGTTCAACCTGCCCAGGAGTGCGTTCAAAGACGGCAGTGCTAATGCCAAAACCTACTTTTCCCCTTCTACGGGAGTGCGTTCAAAGACGTCAATGCTAATGCCAAAACCTACTTTTCCCCTTCTACCGGCAATGCCAAATCTGGAGTGAATTTGCTGGAACGCCAAATACCGTTTCTCAATTAGGCAATCCAAACATTCAAGATGGCGTGGCGACCACACATGGACGAAAACGCACAAAAAAATATCTAGTTTCTGCCCAACTGAATAGTTTACGTACCTACAAATATTTTATTGAATAATCAAAATCAAAGCTGCAAGCAAAACTCGAAGCAAAATAATTGAAATATGCATGAAAACACATATTCAAAACTAACTTGCTGGCCGCCACGCCATAGTGAATTTGGTCTCATCCAATCAAAATTCGTATAACCATTTCTAGACTCAGTTAAAAGCACCTCCAAAAGTTACTTTACCGGGGCCGATTCTGAACGTGTAAAGCCAACCGTTTTTGGCACGCTGGAGCCGAACTTGAACGCAATATGCCAATTTTGGCTTGGCTTTAGCCGTTTTTGAACGCAGCCCGGGGAATCTAAAATCACGATTCGACACACGACTCGATAACGAGACGATTTTTCCGACGATTCTAGGTTGGAATCTCATTGGAATCATACCTTTCGTCCTTTCGAAACGACAGGGCTGGCCGGGGATTCTGAAATCACGATTCGACAACGAGACGATTTTTTCGACGATTTTAGGTTAGAATCTCATTGGAATCATACCTTTCGAGACGACAGGGCCGGTATCGAGTTGCGTCTCGTGTCGAGTCGTGTGTCGAATCGTGACTTTAGAATCTCGGCCCCTGGGGGCGGATTACGAACTCTCGATTCCAACCGAAGCACTACCGAAGCCGCCATGGATTTTGAACGCACTCCATGCAAATGCACCAGAGCCGCTTTCCCAGTATGGGAGTGTGACGCCCGGAGCTACTCGGGGCGTTGAGCTCCCGAGCTGTCCGTACGCGTCAACCTATCAGCTGTCACATCCGTGGGTGGCTATTTATCTATTTATTTCTTGTTATATCTCAAGATTGAACATTTTAAAATATATAGTTTTGATTCTCTTCAATTTTTAATAAATAAAAAACAAACTGCACCAACAATCAGATAATTATTTTTAAAATTTGACATATTTGACGGAACGGAACGGTACAAATCTAGCGCGTGGCGCCCCCGAGGAGTTCTAGAGCGCGCCAATGTGCATACTGGAAAGCGGCTCAGAATGCGTTCGAAATCCATGGCGGTTTCGGTTCGAATCGAGAGATAGTTTAGTAGTGGGCCGTGCTGGAAAGCGGCTCTGGAAATGATTCGGAACCAAAAAACCACAACAAGATCCAAATCACAAGGTTCCAAACCAAAACAGTTCCTTCTTCAGAGCAAGAGCTGTGGGAACCGTTCTAGAACATTCTTAGAATTGTGGGGAATGATTCCGAACTAGTTCTGGGTGAAACCAAAACAAAGCTGTGTTGATGTTCAGACCGTTCGGACATTTATAGACTCAGAAAGGAATTTGAACTGCGGCTGCACGAGTGCAATATTTGTAAACCATTGGCCATTTTAGTGCCAGTTTTTGAATCCCATTGGTTAACTGGTGCGACACTTTTTGCTCTGAATGCAATCAGTTCCGCAAAAGCGTTTAAAGGTCCTACGGCTCTAGTACAATATGACGTTCCGTTGTTATCGTTTTTTCGTGGCTATTTCGGAAACCGTTTATTTTCAGCATTTTTCTAGAGTTTTCCTAACCTTTCAGCCTATATATTTGCCTTGCTACGCGACTAGTGTGGCATGATTGGACAAAAACTTTGGATGCTTGCAACTTGTTATCTTCCAGCAGCAGCGATGGATCCATCCGTTCCATCGATGACCAGTGTCTATCTTTGTCCACTTCATAGAAAATCGGAATGGCTGTCTCATAATGGTGGATTCAGATGATTACATCGATGAATAAAAGAAAGCGTCCATGAATACGAGCATCTTCTAATGCAAGGATAGAATTGCTTATCAGCCTCGTTTTTGGTCATCGCTGCCATATTGGTGTGTTACCATTTCCGACGTCATAACTAAAGCCGCTTTCCAGCTGTGTGCTTCAAGCACGGTGCAGCACTGTGTTCTGTGTTTGAAACGCAAAAGTTAGCAGCTCTCGAAGCGTAGTACGGTTGGAACACGAATACGCGCTTGAAGCATTTACGCGCGCAAAAGCTCGATTGCGTGCTCAAAAGCGTCAGCTGGAAAGCGGCTTAGTCATAACTGTCAGCTGTTTAAACAGCCTACGAGGTGAGAAATAACATGCTGCCTTGACACGTCAATTGCCTGAAATGCTACACAATTTCAATGTGGAAAACTACACATTCAAAAATTGGTCTGTAACAACCCTGGCTGCCTACGTCAGAACTGGTAATTTGGCAGTTGTGGGGGAAGGGAGTGTTTTTGTACACACAGGCCTTATGAGGAAACGCCATCCTGTAGTAGTAGTGTGTATCATCCTTGCTTCCAATGAACCAAGAAAAGTCAATACCCTAGATTAAAAAGACTTTGTGGAAGACCTCAAGGTCAAATGTGGCAGTTCATAGTCACATGTCGAAAATAAAGAGAACACTGTTTAGGGTTCCATGAGCGAATTCCGTCGCAAAACAGTAGACAACACTGCCCCAAAGATGGTTCCTACCCAAATGTTTATATGTTTCATCCGAGTCCTACCTGTTCCGTGTTCCGCAAAGACCGCAAACGATTCTAGGATTCTAGTAGGTTTGTTACGACTTAGTTCAGAATCAGTTTTGAATTGACTTTTCAAATTCGGAATTTAGACAAAATTTTTGTTCGGACCTTCAGTTCTGAACTGTTCTAGAACAATTGTCCGCATATTTATTCAATTTTCAAAAATAAAAACAACGATTTCAACGGAATATAAGCCGTGTGATGTTTGTATCATCTTGCTTTCTCCGGAATTTTGACAGGCACGTGATTTGATTTGTAACCGTTCGTTCGGTATTTTGATCTGATTCTCCGAACTTGAACTTACCGTTTGTTTATTTAAAAAATTTATTCGGTGCAGGTTCATTCGCGTTCGTTTATTAAAATTTAGGGCTCTCGGATACAGCGTTCAACTGCTCTGTTTGCTCGCTGATCACGTGATCATGGCTCCGCTGAGCACGCTCTGCTCTTTGAGCAAAATACCGAACGCAAGGTAAATTGAAATTGCCTGATCCAGTCACGTGCCTGTCAAAATTTCGGACTATCCTGCCTTCGGTATTTTGCTCAAATAGCAGAGCGTGCTGAGCGGAGCCGTAGTCACGTGACCAGCGAGCGAACAGAGCAGTTGGACGCTGTATCAGAGCGCCCGAAATTTTATTAAACGAACGCGAATGAGCCTGCACCGAGTACACTTTTTAAATAAACGAACGGTAAATCCAAGCTCGGAGAACTCAGATCAAAATACAGAACGCACGGCAAATCGACAAAAAAGATGACAATAGAGAGTTCTCGTGCCGTCCAAATTTCAAATAACGTAACGCTATTTGACAAGTATGACAGTTCTTACGGTAATCGTTAGAGGAGCCCGCTATCTAACGGAACTTACCGGATGCCTTACCGTAACGCTATGCTATGTAAAAACTAGTACGCTCCATTTGTGTCCGCAAAAACAGCAACTTCTAATAATTCGTCCATAAAAAACACCAAGGGAAAATTAATCAAGCTCAGGAATCTTCAGAATAAATTAAAGTTAATAAACAAGCAAAAAAAGTGGGGTTAGATTACTCAACTCAGCTGTCAAATTGTAAACGTATTACAGGATTTATGTGTCTTCGTGCCTGAGAACTATAAAATACCATGTGAAATATCGTACTGTTAGCGGTACCGTATTAGCGTAACGTCTGACGCACGAGAACTTTCTAATAACGAACACGGCTATAATATTGCACTAGTGCCGCCCGATCTACAAGTAAGAGCACTCTTGCGGCACCGATGGCACTCAGAGCAAAAAGTGTACCACCAGTTTTACAATTGGGCCCGTATTCATTAGTTGTATTCCTTTCAAAAGCTTGAAACACTTGAGCTACTCGCTTCGGTGTTAGTCGACCCCGATTTGAAAGGAACAGATGCGCTGGCTTTCATGCATTTAAATGGTTTGAGTCGGGCTTCAGCACTCAGGTGCAACAAATACTTTTCGAAAGGAATAAGCGCGTAACGCCCCGGAGCTGTTCCGGAGCTCCTCTTAGGTGTGAAAGGAATACAACTATAGCCGATGCTCAAGGTTGCGTCTTGGCTCAAGTACGACTTGACGCCATATTTGCGTGTCCAAACACCACGGAACGATGCTCACAACTGTTAAAAATCTGAGCTCGAGCCAAGCACCTGTTGAATACCGGGCTTGGATTCAAAAACCTGCACTAAAATGACCAATGGTTGACAAATATTGCACCCGTGCCGCACCAGTTCGGCTAATGGAATTCACTATCCTTTCACACGTAGGAGGAGCTCCGGAACAGCTCCGGGGCGTTGCGCGCTTATTCCTTTCGAAAAATGTTTGTTGTACCTGAAGTGCTCAAGCCCGAACTCAAACCGTTAAATGCACGAAAGCCAGCGTATCTGTTCCTTTCAAATCGGGGTTGACTAACATCGGAGAGAGTAGCTCTACTGTCCTACACTAATGAAAGGAATACAATACAACTATTGCGTTTCCGGTTGAAAAATTTTAAAAATATCGCTTATTTAATTTTCGTCTCTCTTTCTCAGCCAGTTAAAGAAACAGATAGAACTACTTTTTTTTTGCACTAGTTTTCTCAACCAAAAACGCCATTTTATTACCCCATTACCCGCAAAAATTCAAAACTCCAAAGTATCAACTTTCTATTCAAATTTTTAATTTGGAAATTAGAAATTATTTCAACCTACATCCCCTCAAATATGTTTGTTTAAAGTGTCCTCGGCTATTTGTAGTTCCTCATTTTAGTGTAAAAAATAATTTTACTATATTTGTTGTTTAAATTTAAATCTGGTGGTTATTTGCGCATGCGAAAATTGCGACGGAATCTGTCAAATCATCAAAAAGGAAGTCCGCCATTTTATTATCTTTCCTTTCCTACACCGCACCCGGCAGTTAGCACGTGTGGATGCTGATTTCGGCAGAAACGATTGGAATAAAAAACTAATTTGGACAGTCATTTGATCACAACGCATTAATAATAAAGAAAAACGTTTTGGAAGTCGTAGGATCCAAGATGAACAGTGAAAAATTGAAAAAATTGCAGTCGCAAGTGAGGATTGGCGGCAAAGGGACCCCAAGGAGGAAGAAGAAGGTTGTCCATTCTACCCAGGCCACAGATGATAAGAAATTGCAATCATCTCTGAAGAAACTTTCCGTAAATACCATTCCTGGCATTGAGGAGGTAAGTTCTCTATGTATTTATTTGAAGTTCTTGGAAAATTTTGCATCATAGTTCAGGCTAAATGATACCCTATATACCGAGGGTATCAAGTTTCAAAATCCATCCAAGTTCGGATTCAAAAACATAATACTAGATTCTATAATAATTTTGCACCTTATACAAAAATATGACCTTAATTTCATGTTTTTTTTGTAGGTTTTCAATGTCCATTTTAATATCATTTGACCATGAATTGCTATAAATAGAATATTTTATTTAACATTCTCCTTCTAGTTGTGAGTTTTTTATTTGTTCTTGCTCTTCCAACTCTGAGTGCTTGAAACGAATAGTTGAAATATTTGGTTTTGAGTAGATCGTTAATATGATATTCTCGGAGGTATCCTTGATCCTTTGGGTCAGAGTCCACAAAATGATTTTCCATTATTTAGATCAGATTCACTTAAAGATTGGACATAAATTTTAAAAAAAATTGTCACTAGGCCTTTTCAGGTTTGGAAAAAGGACAGTTCTAGAACGGTTCAAAACAATTTGACAGTTTATCAATCAACAAAATGACAACAGCTCGGTTATCACAAATTTCAATAAGAGACTGTGCGATCGTTTTGAACCGTTCTAGAACCATCCTTTTTCCAAACCCGAAGAGGCCTATTATTTTAGACTTGGCGAAGTTCAGTATAAAATCGTCAGCCCAGCCAAGTATACACGATAATAATAATTCTTCAAGTTTTTATCATCTGTGTGAAAAAAAGTTTCTTGCCTCGACTAGGACTTAACATCTGCATGCCACTAAACTCATTAACACACTTAAAATAATAATAATAATGATAATAGATCTTTATTTAGCAAAAACAGCTAATTTATGAAGTTTACAAAATATCCACAATATACATACACTATAAAAAATGCAATATATGCTACTACTGAACTATAACTGAAACAAAAAACACATTCTACTTGTTCACTCACTTATAAAACCAATTGTATAATTAAAATTAACTTTACACACAAATAAGTACATCAAATAGGTTAGACAAGATACTTTGTATGAATAAAAAACCTACACACAGTCGCAAGGCCTCTTATTGAATAAGGTAATTTATTATGCAAGATTAAACCATTATGAAATAGTGCCCTTTTTGTAGTTTTTTTATTTTTTGTCACATGCAAATTACTCTGTGACGGTGTATTATAATTGTGGACATTGCTATTACATACAAGTCTCGAGGACAAATACCACCGAACTAAATAATTTTTCATTTTATGGATGAGAATCATAGTTTGGTATTCCAAATACTATTCTACTGTTTTACTATACAGTGGTCTGTTATTGTTGGTGTTTCTTCAATCACATTGACCCTGTCATCAATAATCTCAAAGTTACAAATCAATTATGGTTCTCATACAAATTATAATGAAAAATTAAATGGAACAACACAACTTCAACATTCTAAAAACTTTCGCCTTTTTGCTCATATTATTGTCAATATTGTTATTTTTATTATTATTTTCATTTTTCGCCATTAGATTATTTTTTTCTTTGAACTTATATACCCACTATCATTTCAGTAGTTATTTCCCTTGGTATTTCCATTGATCTTAGTTCAAGTAACCACATTATTATTATTATAATATTTTGTATTACCATACTTGAGGATCCTGGTCATGTGTTGATTTCTTGACCTGTTATTTTCTAGTAGGTACCCGAGTAGGTACCTACATTGAAAAAAAAAACATTTTAATTTGGTTTAGGTTTAATTATTGTCTTTTGTGTTAACAAACAAAGTCAGAGCAACGCAAATACAAGTCAACCGCAATCATGTCAGATTCTGCTGGATTTCTGCAATTTTTTTAATTTAAACCAATTTAACAATATACTTAACTCTAATCAACATACTCTTGACTTAGTACTTAGTAATCTCCCATGTAATATGACCCGTGATTTGGTACCCTTTGTACCAGAAGACCATCACCAAATAGAGACGCTAAACGGGATAACTTTCGTAAAGCAAACTTTCCAAAATAATATAACTTGCTTGCCAATACTGACTGGTCTATGTTGGACGATTGCTCATCTGTGGTTTATGCGTGTGAACAGCTTTACACTGTACACCATATTCGATCAATGTGTCCCACTAATCAAAATTTCTAGAAGAACATACCCTGTCTGGTATACATCTGAGATAATTGAGAATATCAAACTTAAGGCACGCATTAACAAAAAATTGAAAAGAAGAAGAACATCTAACCATCTTAAAACTGAGTTCTCAAATCTTAGAGCTAAAATAAAATGTGACATCGATACTGCCTATAAAAATTACTTGAACAGATGTGAAAGCAATATTAGGTCTGATCCTGCCCAGTTTTGGTCTTTTGCCCAGTTAAAACAAAGTAACTCAAGTATACCTAATACAGTAAAATATGAAGGCCATGAATATACTAACGGTCAGGATGTTGTTGATGCATTCGCAACATTTTTAGAAAGTGCGGCCTACACTTGCACATATCTCAATAATTTCTCTTTCTGACCATGAAATCCTCGAAGCTTTATGTAGACTCAAGCCAAAGATAACTCAAGGGCCAGATGGAGTTCCTAGTTTCCTCGTTAAAGACTGTAGGTTTGCCCTTATTCATCCACTGTCGAAGATCTTTAATTTATGTCTTAAAGTTGGTGTATTTCCAGATTGCTGGAAGACAGCAAGAGTAAAGCCTATATTTAAAAAAAAGGGATACAGTCGAAAATTACAGACCAATCTGTTTACTCAATGTTTTTGCCAAGGTCTTCGAGATGGCTATCTATAATAGGGTATTCTCTAAGGTTAGTTCACTAATTACGCCACTTCAACATGGCTTTTTTGCTGCTAGAAGCACAACAACTCATTTAGCTTGTTTTCATCAATTTACAAGTGAAGCATTCAACTCTCGTCTTCAGGTTGATACAGCTTACACTGACTTTTCAAAAGCGTTTGATAAACTAGACCATGCTTTACTCCTGAACAAGTTGGCACACCTTGGTTTTGATAAAGATTTATGTTTTGTTTCTTCATATTTGTCTGACCGCCAGCTGTATGTAGAACATAGGGGTCACAGGTCATCTAAATTTGTTGCAACAATTGGCGCACCATAGGGTAGCAATCTTGGCCCCTTGCTGTTTCTGCTCTTTATTAATGACCTACTTAAGGTCATTAATAGTAGTCTACTTCTATTTGCAGATGACCTTAAGCTCTATAAGGTTATCCACTCCATTGAGGACTGTGTAGGGCTGCAGGAAGATCCTAATAAACTTAATCAGTGGTGTACTGTGAATAAATTGCCCCTGAATATTGATAAATGCAAAACTATGACCTCTCACTTAAAAAGAATGTAGTATTTGATCAATACAGTATTCAATCAGTATCACTTGTGCGTGTTAATAATTTTAGGGACCTAGGTATTCTCTTTGTTTCAAAACTTGCATTCAACTCTCATGTTCTAAGCATTAGAGAGGCTTCCTTGAAGATGCTTGGTTTTCTTATTCGAACATGCTGATTTTTCAATAATGGTCAATCTCTTAAAATTCTATACTACTCTTATGTACGATCTAAACTAGAATATGGCTTACTAATCTGGGATTCGTGTTATAACGAATATATCAATGCCATTGAAAGCATGCAGAGAAAATTTCTTGAGTATTTATCGTTTAAAGCAGATGGCTTCTACTCTCCACGAGGTAATAACCATCAGATACATAGATTTTTTTTTTTCCGTTTCCGTTACTTGCACAAAGAAAATCTTATCTCAGCCTGCAATTTCTTTAAAAATTAGGTAATAATATGATCGACTGTTCTGAATTGCTTGGCGTTTTGAAGTTCCGAGTACCGGTAGCAATAGTTGCTTTCGTTTTATCGCCCTCCTTACCTAACTCTTAGCTAAGAATTTTACCTAACTAATTTTTGTAAAAGAACGCTACTACCAATACTCCTGAGAAAAAAGGCAAATAAAAAAATAATATAACCTCATCAGTTGGTTTTTGTTTTCACAACTAGGCATTCTAGGATGTTTAGGTGCATTTTGATTAATTTTGGAGTCTACCAAAATATTAATCTTTAATTTATGTAACTATTATTTCTCAACCACAACAGAAAAATCTCGATTTTTCTTGTTTTGAGGTTAGTTAGATCGAAATCTTAACGTAAGGTTGTTTAGAGGTAACCTTACCATCGGTAAGGGGGAAGGTAAAAATCTGACCAACCTAAATTCAAGAAATGATAAAACGAACGCCAACTTAGGTCAGAATCTCAAAGTTAGCTAAGACGGTGTGTAAAACGATAGCGACTAATGACAAGATCTAGAGACCTCTTTTATTTGCCACAGGCATCAAATAACTTAATGATTAGATCGTCAACGCTTTTATATATACTCCTAGTATTCTTTTGTTCTGAACAAACTGATTGAAGTCAACTGAACTGATTGAACCGTGTTCTTTCGATTTCGGATCATTTCTCCCACCATACCCACCAAATTATTGCAATCAGTTTAATCTTAGCCCCAAGTGATCGCAGAATTTTTACGTTCACTTCTTTCAGATAATTTGTGAGTCCAAATCAGCTGATATAGATTTTTGTTCTTTCGATGTGACAGAACTGAGCGAAGTGATGTGAATATAAAAATCACTTTCAGTTAAATCAGATTAGTTTGTTCAGTTCGATTAGATCGAAAGAATACCCCTATTATTTACATTTTATATGTCTCATAAATTGGGTCAAACCCCAAATGAAAGTATTTTTCATTTTTTCAATTATTCCTAATACTTCAATAACTTATTTATTTTATTTTATTTTTCAGGTCAATATGATAAAGGATGATGGCTCTGTCATCCACTTCAATAATCCAAAAACTCAAGCCTCCTTGGCTGCTAACACTTTTGCCATCACCGGTCATGGCGAGAATAAACAAATCACTGAAATGCTTCCCTCAATCTTGAATCAGTTGGGCCCTGAAGGTATTTCTCAGCTTAAACGTTTAGCAAGCTCGGTTGCTAATGCAGGAGTCAACAAAATTGTGCCAGAAGATGAAGAAGATGTCCCAGATTTAGTGGAGAACTTCGACGAAGCCAGCAAGGCTGAGGTTGCCAAACCAGAGGATCCCAAAGCTGATGAGAAGCTAAAAGAAAGTGCTGAAAAGCCAAAAGAAAGCGCTGAAAAGCCAAAAGAAAGTGCTGAAAAGCCAAAAGAAAGTGCTTAGGTTAGATTGACTGCTTATATTTTATGTTTTTCATAGTTTAAACTTTTATAATAGATAGTGTCATTGGTTGGAATTTGGTATTAAGAATAAAATTATCAAGGAATAAGGTGCTACACTATTTTTTTCACTAGCTTAACATGTTCGCTGCTATCTCTACAGGGAGTAAAACCCCAGGGGATTAGTGGGATTACATTTTTTTATTTCAATTTTGTGTTATTATTATCGGCCTATAACGTTCTACATCTTCCAATTCCCATAAATTGGAATAAAGAATATTTGGCAATGTCTCGATTGTGTTTTTCTTAGAGCTGACTAGCTCCCAGCAGTCAATCGCAGCGAACATGTTAAACCTCTTGCGATAATAATCTTACTACTAACTCGTACCAATGATGCCACAAAATCATTGCATATACATAGTTCGAATTGAAGTTGATTTCCATTCTTAACCTAACATTTTGTTACAAATTTTAGAAAGTATGTTACATTACAATGAATTATTGTATTACATTTTTTGTTGAGTGTATAATGTAATGTCTAAATTAGAGGTACCGATTTTTTTTTTTTTGAATATAGAGGACTTGTAACATCTGTTTTTTCTTTAAATCTTGTTTTTTTGAAATATGTTTTTTCCCCAAAAGTAGCCGAGGACTGCAAAGCCGCTATGGCTTGTGTTGTAATGGTCTTGTGCTCTTACTGAAGGCAACTGAGCTGCAGTTGCCAGTTGGTTTTGGTAATAACACTGCCAGTATCAACATCCATACTCGGTGAGGAAAAAAAAGGTGCAAAATCTAAATTCAAAACATATTCTTCAGCTAATTTTTTTCTTATCCAAATTTTGGATCTTTTAGTAGGGACTCGATAAGGCCTATTCAGGTTTGAAAAAAGGACGGTTCCAAACAATCGGACAGTTTATCAATCAACAAAATGACAACAACTCGGCTATCACAAATTTCGATAATAAACTGTGCGATTGTTTTGAACCATTCTAGAACTGTCCTTTTTCCAAACCCAAATAGGCCCATAGAGTGTTCTAGAATAATCCGTCGAATTAGTCTCAAGATTAGTAGGGGATTAAGGGTTGAATATATCAATAAAAAGGACATCTTTATTCGTTTCCTAAGAGATTTTGGATAGGGTACCTACTGCCACCTTTCGCCCAGAACTTTTTCTTAGATTAAGCTGGGCCTTAGTGGAAATGACTTTCCATAACTAAATACACCAAGTACCAGGTACTTGTCCATGAATAGAAAATTATTTTTTATTGGCCAAAGTAATTGGTTCAGGTTATTACTGCCTTTTCCTGCAAGAAGTAGGTAATTGGTTCTGATAAACTACATTAAGTATTATTCTAGAAATTGGTTTCAAAAATGCAAATTCAAAATGGGTACTTAAGCTGGATTTATCCAGCAAATAAAATAAGAAGTAACAGTTAACCTCATGAAATACCCTTAAAGTGTTTATACAGAAAATAACAAATAAAATTAGAAATGCATTAGTTTATGTATTTGTTATTTTATTTTATGTTATCTTATTTTATTTTATTTGCTGTATAAATCCAGCTTAACATAAAAAAAAAAATTGTCAATAATTTTCCACTAATAGTCTTGTAGGTCACCTACCATATTTTCATTTATTATGTAAGCAATTGATATTTATGCTCTGAATCATACTCCGTTATTGTTATGTATATTGAATATATTGTTGTAATATTACAATTCACAATAATAAATCTTAATAGTTCCTTAGAACATTAGTAACAAAGGATAATTACGCCAGTCAATTTTCAACAGTCCAGCAATAAAAGAATTTTTTAAGAAAGTGTTCTAGAATACTGCGTAAACTTTGATTCTGCCTCAAATTGGTTTCCAATTTGGTAGTAGATGAAGGTTAGGAAATATCAAAACTCAATAAAAAAAGGTCTTTATTTTTTCTCTTTTTGTGTGAGGTACCTACACTACCATCTTTGAGCAAACTGTTCTAGAATAATCTTGATATAGTAGATTTTGGAGCAGATTCTACATATGGGACCACTACCATCTATTAAGAGGGGGTTAACAGGGTGTTCTAGAATAGGTACTGCCTCAATTTGGGTTTGAAATCAATAGGAGATGAACGGGGTATCACCACTATCTTCTCGTAGGGATTCGGTAGAGTGTTCTAGGATAATCCCTTGAATTCGTTTCAAGATAGGTAAAAATAGGATTATTATCGTTTTTATCTAGATTTTCAGTGAAGTACCACTACAATCTTATAGCAGGGCCTTCGGATTTAACAGGGCGTTCCTAGAATATGGTTTCAAATTAGTTTTAAAATAGGTAGATAGTGGATGAAGAGTTGAAGATATCAAAAAGACTCGATAAGAAGAAAGTTTTTACAATTTTTCTCGAGATTTTGGATGGGGTACGTACCACTACCACCTTTTGTAAGGGGCTTAATGAACTGTTCTAGAATACTCCCTTGTAGATTGTGGGGGAAATCGTTTCGGCTTTCCAGCCGCTCAGCAGATATTTTGTACGTGACTACATTTTAAATTGTCTCCAGGAAGCGTAGACTTCTGCCGAAAGAAGCTATTTTTCTAGGTGTCAGTTGGCCCACTTCTCCTGGTGACAGTGATGTCCCCTCGAGGAATTTGAGCCTCTTGCAGAATTGCACTCTGCGGTCTCTATTGCGTCTGAGCAGAATCTGCAGAGATCGTCTTCTGCTCTGCCCATTAACCTCAAGTGGTATTTCACCAGGCAGTGTCCTGGGAGCAGTCCTACGACCATTATGATGTCTGGTCTGCTCATGTTTAGGAGCTGTTCAGCTCTTTTTGCTGAAAGAATGATTAATTTGATTGTCTTAGTGCCGGAGTGTGCCTCCAATATGATGACAGTTGGTCTTTCTCCTATTTGTTGAATTCTACCATGATGTGGCTTTTCATTAAGCCACAATAGGGCTCTGGTCCATGGTATGGTGTAGAGGCCATCTGCTTCTTCATTTCCTTCTATGGCTCGATGACCAGGCAGCCACATATCAGCGTTAACTGGTTGTGTGTCGCTAGTGTTTTTAGGGTCTGTTTACACTCCCAGACTAGTTTTGACGTGCATTTGAAAGCCTTTAGGGCTTTTAAGGCAGCTTGGCTATCTGATAGTATGAAGATGTGTTTTTTTCTTTGAGGCTTTGGTTGAGACACTCTTGTGCACATATGTTTACGGCAAGCAGTTCGGCTTGAAATATTGTAAGATGTTTGCCTTGGAGAGCTTAAAGTTAGGGCCGGAAATGCCCAGTCCAGCTCCTTCCGTAAGTTTGGATCTATCTGTGTACCACAGAGATGCATTGTCTGCTTGTGGTAATTCTTTATTCTCTCATGATTTGCGCTCGTTTATCAGCCATCATGTGGTCACTTGGTTTGCTGACATTCTCCAGTTTTAATATTAGAATACTCCCCTAAATCGGTAGGGGATGAAGGGTTGAACATGTACCTGTATCAACAGAACGAATAAAAATAAGATTTGTATTTATCAAGATTTTGGATGGGGTTTCCAAAAATGGAAAAGTTGAAAATATCAAAAAACCCAATAAAAATTACGTTTCACTAGTTTTCTAGAGATTTTGGATGGGGTACACACAGTACTTGCCATATTTTGGCAGGTTTATCAAGTTGTTCCAAAATACTCCCTCAAATTGGTTTTGAGATCAATGAAGGATCCAGGGTTGAGTATATCCAAAAACTCAATGAAAATAAGGTTTCTATTGTTTTTTTCGAGATTTTAGAAGGGGTACCTACCACTACCATCTTTTGGCAGGGTTTGACTAAAGTCTTCTAGGATACTCAATTTGGTTTTGAAATCAGTAGGGGATGAAGGGTTGTGAATATCAATAAACCCAATAAAAATAAGGTTTTATTAGGTCTGCTTCTGCAGAAATCACAAACCAGTCATAGCGAATTTCATTGGTTGAAAACAGTCAGAAAACTAGTTCTAACCAATGATATCTACTCTGACTGGTTTGTGATTTCTGCAGAAACAGACCTATTAATATTCTCGAGATTTTGGATGGGGTACCCATACTAGTCATACTACCTACAATCTTTTGGCAGTTTGACGGAGGTCAAGAATAGGTACTTCCTCAAATTAGTTTTAAAATCGGTATGGGATGGATAACTGAAAATATGCAAAAACTCCATGAAAACAAGGTTGTTTCTATTGTTTTCTCAAGATATTCGAATACCACTAAGATCTTCTAGTAGGGACTTGACAAAGGGTTTCAGCAGAATACTCCCTCTCAAATTGGTTTTGGAATCGGTAGGGGATGAAGGGTGGAAAATATCAAGAAACACAATAAAAATAAGGGCTTTATTCTCTCTTAGAGATTTTGGATGGGGTACTACCATCTTTCAGCAGGGACTTGATATAAAGGGTGTTTTAACCTACCTACTGCCAAATTAGTTTTAGAATGGGTAGTGGATGAAGATATGTAATATCAAAAAACAAGGTTTTTATAATTGACTGTATTCGTATGTGGACAATTTTATCTGATGACCAGGAAATTTAGAATATGTTTAAACTTTCTTCTTTTTACAACAATGGACTTAAACTATACCAGTTGAACGAAACTGACATTAAAATGAGTTTTCATTATTATTTCAACACGGGACGAATGCAGATGGTAAATAAAATTATTAGGTTCTAAAAATTTAAACCTTCAGGATCGAACCCTCGAAATATCCAGCCACAATAATGAATTTGATGACCAATACCTACAATTATACGTCACCAAGTATAAAAACAGTGAAACAAGGTTTTGATGAAAAAAGAACGCTCACTAACAGCTGTCTAGGGTGAAAGGATTCAGAAATATTTTTGTACATGGGAGCTGTTGTAAATGGCTCAGTAGGAACAAAATTACCATTAAAAAAAATAATAATAATTAGGTATCCTTGATTTATATGCCAAAATTACCATTGACTGAGACGCTCAAAGGGACAAAAATTATTTGTGAAAATGAAACATGAATGAAAACAGTTTTAATGAAACTATTTTACATTATTTTTGAACATATATTTTAATATGAATATAAATATACAATAGAGACATAAAATCTAAAAATAAAGATTTTTCTTATTACTATTTACGTAGCATGGTACTTGAATAATATGCTTATTGGGCAGAAACTATGGTTCATTCTCAAATTTCTAGCACCTCACTCATTCATTGATTCATTGGCTGAAACAACAATACAGTTTTAGGAGGGTCTCTATCTCTAGAGCAGCTCTCACTTTCATTATTGGATAGATGAAAACTATTGTAGGACAAATGTTATTGAGTTGGTTGTCTTGTCATCCTTCAACTCGCAACTCACATTAACGGAACTTTCTTTAATTTAAATGAAACGAGGTTTGAATTGGAAGTAAAAAAATTTTTTTTTGGTGGATTCTTCATCATTTATCAAAAACCAAATTCAAAGCAATGGATTGCGGAGACAAGAATTTCTGGCATTGATACCTAAAACAGTTCAGCACACCATTTGTGAAATAAATGTGCTATAAAGGAAGGAGTCATTCCCATAGGAAAATATACAAAAATTTATTTTTATAAACTATAATTAGAATGAGTATGGGTCTATATACATTTTTGAGACCTGAGTTGACATGGCATCTAATAACAGTGGCCTATTTGAGATTTTCTGGTACCAAGCTATGTAGCTAGAACACAATTTTTAACTCATCTAAACTGATGCATGCTAATCCTTAAGCCAATACAATCTTTACCAATCTCAGCTATTTGACATACATTACATAGGCATCCCTTGTATTTGGGTAAATAAGAACTTGCGCAAAGCGGGCATTTTTCTTCTGGCTTTCCTCTATAAATTGGAGTGTACGAGTAACCACAAAGACTGAAGGGATTGTGCTCGTTATAATGTAGTTGAAGTTCATCTGTTGGAGTTGAGTCACATGCCTGAAAAATATTATTTATTATAACACATTTTATGAATACAAGAAATGATACGCACCTGTAATATTTTCCTAGCTTGTTGTGCCACTTCCGGTCTTGGTCCCAAATCCAAAAGCCTTTTAGCAAACGATGCTGCTGTTTTATAGTTTTTCAACTTGAAATACATGTTGAGGGCAGTCCTAAGTGTTAATATTTGATGGACAGGTTGTAGCTTACTGTGTGTGAAATAGGCGGCCAACTCACATTGGCGTTTTTGTTCTTCAGGCGTGCCTGGAAGAACGAAATGAAAAATTAACATAAATTATCCAATACTGACTATGCTAAAGGGTGTATGTGTATTAAAAATTTGTATAATAGGTGAGATACGTCTGATAGATAAGCCTGGGACTTTCTGAATTAACTTCAAATGTTCATAAATGATACTTTTGATAAGTTTCAGGTATTGATGGCACCAATATTGCTGGTTTCACTTTTGTTCAACTAACCAATTTATTATTTATTTGATAGTAGATTGTTTACAATCCTATGATATAATTCAAATTTACAAATTATTAATAATAGCAGTTTTCACACAGCATCAATATCTGAACTTTGTAGTTATAATGTATCAAGGTGTTTAATAATAAATATTGTACCTTTTGGTAAAGTTTTCCTGAAAGTTTCCATTTGCAATCCACAAATATATTCGCTGCAGATTCGTAGCATTTGCTGAGCCTCTGCTATTTCCTGCTTGCTTTCTACAACTAGTAGAGTAATCGCCAACAGAAGATTTTGGAATTTTTCTATGGCTTCTGTGAATTTTCCACCAGTAGTCAATTGATAACAGACCTGAAAATATCACTTTTAGTTTATTGCATATCACAGATATAATTTCTATAAAAAAATAGAAATTATATTCTATAGTAACCTAGTTAAAATACTTACTTGTAATTTTGATACCAAATCATTTAACTTAATTCTTATAGTCGGTAAGCCAGTCTTCATAGTAGCTTCTTTCCAATTTCTCAAAGGATAACTAAATACTGGAGGTATATTTGCAATTTGGTTGACCACCGTTCTTGAACTGCTATACAAATTCATGAATAAACTTTCATAGGGTTTGAAATTTACTACTCCAATTTGGTCGTGCAGAAGACGGCATGCAGATTCGAATGATCCGGCCAATATGTGGTCAGCTGCGAGTTGAGAGGATTTTGTCCAGGCTAGTTTTGGTGATGGGCCTAGAGTAGAAGATATGCGAAATTAGATTTTGTAAATAATTTTAGTTATAGGTGTTGATAGAAACAAAAACAAATGTTTCAGGATGCCGGGACAATATAGGATAAATGATATTGTCCTGGATGGTGAATCAGAAGAAAAAAAACAGTCAGGTTCAGAGGGCAGTCAATCAGGCAATGCAGTCTGTTGCTCAAGAATTTGGAAAAAAATTACGACCACTAAGCGGAGGTTCATGTTAATGATTCTGATATTTCTTACAGGGATAAATGTGGAACTGAAGGTTCTTTTGAGAGATTGTTCCAAAGTGTCCCAGGGCAAAATGCCTGTTCTAGGGCTGTGTTGCTGAAAATGTTTCTTCTAGATAATGTCTTAGTTATATCAAGGATAAAACGGAAATATCAGATTCTGGTTCAGTAGTTTTTGTAGAACTGCCAACTAAAGCCAGTACCAGAAAGTGAATGAACCTAGTTCCTGGACAACTGATTTTTAGGCCTTTCACTTTCAAAAATTAACTCAAATCTAAATTGCAATGGGAAAATATAAATTTTTTAGCCTAGAGAGGGATTGTGGCAGTGACATACCATTCTTATAACCAAATATGATACACATCAAAACAAAGATATATCTTCTGTTGCTAGTCTTGACTAGGTTAAAATATCTGACATTGATTATAGAGGGTGTTCAAAATCAACATTTCATAAATGACCAGTTTTAAGATTTTGAGTTTCTACAAACTCGAGAATTGAAAAATCTGAAAACTTACAAAATAAAAAGTTCTATTACCTTGAGCTGGTAAATGCACATAACTATCAGTACCGTCTGTGAGCCCAGCCTGAATAGGTCCCGATTCTGGAAGATCCAAATCGCCATCCTCCACGTCCCATCCAGCTTCACCACTTTCCGATACTCTCGGATCATGAGTTGCGTCTTCTGCTTCTATCACCTCCTCGTCGTCATCTCCCCAACCTTCACCTTCGTCAATAGCTTCAGTAGCCACAGGTTCTGCTACTAACTTGCTTGACGTGGATTGTGTTGCAGTGTTCTCGAAATAACTCTGTAAATGCTCGAAATATTAAAATAAGACAATTAAAATCCAGAGAAATCTTACCCTGCTAACAGTTAATAAAGGCCAATTACTTTCAGCTTGCTGAATGGGAGGTGGTGGTCTCAAATATGTAGTATGATTATCAACATCAGGTAATTTTGTGTCATCTCCTATAGCCTCTTTTAAATGCTCAGCCTCTTCAGTCATGCCATGTGTAGCTGCTGTCAAATATGCCAAAGAAAGCTGATTTGTTGATTTTAATACATTTATACGTTCATTTAGATCACCCAGCAGGAGAGCTCCATGGTATTGAGACGACCTTGCTTTCCTCACTTCTGCAATTTTGGTCATTTTCTTCAATTTCTCTAGGTTGCCAGTAATCAAATACAAAAACGATAGTTTCTCGAAGCTCTTTGTCCTTTGATAACACATTTCCACAACTTGGTGATTACCCTGCCATAAAGCAGCTTCTGCTAGATGATCCCAACAAGCTTTATCATTTAGAGCTTTAGCTGCTTCGAGTGCAATTTCAATGTTGCCACATTCTAAAGCCAATGTGAATCTAGTTTTATCATCTTTGACAAAATGTAAAGCTACTTCTGGATAACCTTTTTGTTGCAAGTAAGAAATAATTGATTGTCCTACAAGGCGAGATTTTTGAACCATGTAAAGCACTTCTTCATATCTATGGTGTATTAGAGCTAATTTGAATTTGTATTCTGTAGGGTCGATGGTTAGAATTCTAGGTTTGCATTCTCGGTCCAAACAAAATACTTGGCTGCCCTTGACTCTTGTTATGTAAATAGGCAAGTCAAGTGTACGAATGATTCCATGGTCCCTGAAAGAATTATTGTTGTTTTTAACATGATGTTAGCAAAAAAGTGGGTTTCTTACCCATTGTTAAGTGTATATTTAATATGATTGCTGGTGGTATAAATAAATACTCCAGAGTCATCCCAGGCACCAGATTTTACTCGTGTATTTTCATGTATGGAGCATAAAACATCCAGTTTTCTATTGCAGACAATAACAGTATGCTTGGCAAGAAGCGCTATATGGGACATATCGCTGGACCAGACCACATAACGACATTTGGTAATTTTAACTAGAAGGAAATATATAATTGATAAATAGTAGACTACAATAAAAAGTAATTAAAAATGTTTATGACGGACATTTAGTAGTAGTATTTTTGCTTTTGCAGCTAAAAATGGTATTTATACCTTGAGCTAATGTTCTCTTCTGTTGCACATCAAACAGGGTCACATTTTCCGAATCACGCAATAATAACATCCCTGTACCGGCATAAAATACTTCATCACACGGTGGAGTTTGAACTTTTTTGGTTACTTCATTTTTCAGATTTTTAATTACAAGCTGGTGTCCTCTATCCAATACAGCAAATCTGTTTCTTGCCACCCACAAAGCAGTAAGACTGCTGGATCTTTTGCTTTCAACTTCAGGCACATGATCACCACTTTCTGCATCTTTAGGAATTATATATAAATCATAAACACTATTATCTAGATTCGATGTGCGGGTAAATAGAAGAACAGCATTTTCAGCTGGATTAAATGACATTCCATAGACTGGAACTTTTCCACCACCTGAAAAAACAACAATGAATGAGTACACTTCCCAAAAATAAAAACTGAGATAATGACCTTTGATTTGAATAACTGGAACATCTTTAGCAGTAGAAAAATCAAGCCTTCTCAAATATTTCTCTTTCACATAATAAAGTAGATTTCCATGAACGGTGTAAGCAGGGCGTTCTCTTTCCAACTTAAAAATGATCATACCAGCATCATGACCTGCTGCAAATAAGTTGAGATTTGGATGAGAAGCCATGATCCAAAATCTTTCGTGTTCTCTTCTAAATGTATGCAGGCAAGTCCTTTTTTGCATACACCACACTCTAATACTTTTATCTTCACTGTTAGACAAAATTAGTTCTTGTCTGGGATGAAACAAGGCACATGATACATTATTGTAATGACCTCTGCAAGTATCTACTTCCCAAGCTTTTGAATCATTCATTCTCCAAAGTTTGATTTGTCTATCATCAGCTCCTGATACAATTAAAGGTAAACTATGATGGAAAGAGGCCCAATTCACACCTCTATCATGCCCTTCTAGAACATGCTTGACTACAGCATCAGACACACCAAATAAATCTGTACTTCCAGGATTTTTAAGGTGATCTTCCAAACCAGTAGGACCAGGAGCACAATTTTTCTTTCTCAAGCCAGATATATCCCATACTCTTACAGTGGAATCCAAACTAGCAGATACGAGCAAGTCTTCACTCGGATGAAAAGTGGCACACATCACATAATGATTGTGACCAGTGAGTACGCATATACAGGTACGACTTTGCCAATTCCAAATACGGATTGTTTGGTCATCAGAAGCTGATACTATCCAAGGGTATTCATGATGGAACACTGTGGTTCTTATGTAGTCAAGATGGCCTAGTAATGTGAAGATGCAGCGTTTTTGCTTGTAATTCCACACCTAAGCAAAAAATTGATAATTTATCTGCAGAGCTCAGACAAAATATGAATACGGATCAGGTAATTATTAGTTTACTATGCGGACACATTTTTCCCAGAAAATTAGGTACTAAGAACCTATCGTAACAATTCAATGCGTAATACCTGATACAAACTTCAACAATTTAGCAAAAAAAATGTATAACTAAACATAAATATGTTAATTTATTTTGATATTAGAGTGATACAAGGCTGTCAGAGGTTCTATTTTCAATATGCCGCCCGAAGTAGAAATTTGCGATATCTGGTTTATATAAATATACAAAGCTCTATACAAAGGAATAAGTTCCAATTACCATCAGTCTGTCCATTCTTGTAGAGAAAAGAGGAGGAAGGGTTAAGGGATAACATAAAATTTGAAGTATTTGAAAAAATTAAATGTAGTTTGGTGTGTATTCACATCGGTAACAATAATCCAACACTTAATCTTTTATATCGTCCACCTTCTCTTCTATATGCTGATATTTTAAATCAAAAATATTGTAAAATGCTCTCCAGAAAATCATGCTTTATGAAAAAATTGAATCATGATGGGTCTGATATTGAGAAACAGTAGAGAGTTGTTAATGGATTATTAAACAGGAGAACGACTGCTTCAGATATTATTGATGGTCCTCTATACTCTTCTTCAAGACACATTGATTTTAAATGAAATACATTGTGCAAATAGTCTGTACTTGGAACTGACCATCGAGCAGAAAATAAAGAAAGTAATTATTAGCTTAAAACCGAGCTTAAAACGCAACTCTGCTCCGGGTGTTGATGGGATTACAGTTTTTATCTGTTGAATTTTAATGATTCCCTAATTAAGTACTGTCCTTGCAAAGTTAGTTGATGATGTTCTTATCTTTGGAATATTCCCGGAGGAGTTGAAGTAAAATAACACCAATATTTAAGTTAGGTCTTCAGGATTCAACGAACAACTATAGACGGATCAGCGTTACATGCATGTTGTCAAAAATTATTGTGAAAATATATATATTTTTTTTTATTATTTATAAAATAACAAATTACAATTTTCATCTAATCCCAGCCACAAGTTAAGCTATGCATTTTGTTATTCGCTCCTAAACAGCTTGAATTGAAAAGAGGATTCTCAGTAGTATAGATAAATAAGACAATGATAAATATCAATATAGATTCAAAAAAAACCAGTAACACTCTGAGTGCTACTTAACTGCTCTGTTTTGCACTCTTTGTATTTTATTTAGCAGATACTTAGGCGCATTTCCCCAACACACTATTAAATACCTCAAATGAGGTTCCACAAAGTTGTTATACAATATTTTTTTGTCCTATTGCTGAACATACATGAACATCTTTTTAGTGCACCCAGCATAAAGGAAATTTTTTTACTAATTTTTTCAACAATTATTACATTGGAGATTATTATTTATGTTCAAGCCTAGATATTTATAGCCAGTCACTTTTTCAAGTTTACTTCCATTTGTTAGTACACTGATGTCACACTTTACCTTAAGTATTCTTATTTTTCATGACCACAGTTTTTTCAGTGTTTATACTAAGCTTATTAAAGCAGAGCCACTTATAGTATAAAGCCATATCACAGTTTATCTCCTTTTCCAGAATCTTTATGCCTCTGGCTGAGAATACAACAACCATGTCATCTGCAAACATAAAGTATTTGGTCTTTAATCCAGCATATTTCAAGCTATGTACCTACATAAAGTAAGTAAAGCAAGGGACCAAGCACTGACCCCTGCACTACCCCCACATTCAAATCCACTACGTTGCTGTCATAATTGTTCACCGTTTTGTAGTGCCTCCTGCCAAGCGAGTATGTTTTTAATAAACTTTCACATAAGCCTCGAAATCCCATTTTATTCGTTTTTTCCAATAGCAGTTCACTATCAACATTAAAACACTACAAAGGATGTATCCTTCACTGTATAGTTTATAATATTATTTCTGACATAAATACTAATGCCACCTCCTCTTGTATCCCTACAATTATGTACAGGAGAGTAGTTTTCAAAATCATACAACTGAACTTCATTCCGATAAATCCATATGTCTGTTAGAACCAGTAACCTGAGCATTGAAAATGGGACACCTGATTTTTCCTATTGTAAAACGGGCTCGCCAGCTACACTGTCGGCAATGACAGGGATTGTCATATTTGACAAAAAATCCGTTATACAGAAAAAACTGATTTACCCAAAATAGCGAAAAATGAGAAGACCTGTCAGTCGGGTGTTTAATGCTCACGACTGTATGTTCTTATATGTTTGTTCCGCCAAAATTTCATTTAGCACCTCAATTTTATTTTTAAGGCTGTGTATATTGATATACAGTAAATTTAGGTTTTCTAATTAGGGTTAGAAACTCGGTTAGAAATGACAACAAACTTGTTTGATGGTAATAACTTTCGATTTTAAACTAAGGATTTCCAAGGAAGCCTCAAGGAACTATAAATTTGCCCTTTAGTACCCGTAACAAATAAAATCATCCCAATGGTAGTAGAGAAATTACTTGACTTATAATAGCAGAATGAACATTTACAATTTTTTTTTTTTGTCATATCTTAGATAGGTAGTCGATTTCTGTACGGGGCAGTTCTGGGCACGGTGACTTTAGCATGCATATTTTACAAAATAAAGCATTAGAGCTCGCATTAGAGGTTTTATTTGAACTGGATTGGCCGAGGGGTGTTTCACCGACTAAATTTTGTACACCTACTGCATTTGACTGCATTGATTGCATCAAAGATGATAGTCGACTGCATTGACTTTTGAGCAATTTTTAACAAGATTGACGGCTCCACTCGCAGCGACTGCTTACAATTTTTCGCGAATGTATATGGAATGTACGCTACTGCATGTGACTGCACAGAGTTTATAACGATTGCAAGCGACTGTATTATGATTGCATGCAACTCTATTATGACTGCATGAGTCTATGTATTCCATTGACTGCATGAGAATGTATGGATTGCAAAAGAATGTATGTACTGCATGATATTTGTACATCTACTGCACAAGTGAAACGCCCCTCAGGATTGGCTTTCTACTGTTGGACCATATAAGGGGTTGAGTGTTTTGATGTTAAATAAGTTACTTCAGCTTAAACAGGTATAATATGTAGGAACTTATATAAGGTTACAAAAAATAGGCAAAAATGTAACACAATAGTCCTTATGGACTATGGCATTACATTTGGTGTAGTGGAGGTAATGTTGGTGTTATCTTTACCACCAACATTACCTTCAATTTATATTAGGAATAATAAAATGTCATAATATAACCCAATGTAATGAGCTTATGATAATTTGCCTGACACAATAGGCATATGAATTTGGTAGGCAAATTTTCATATAGGCTGAACTGAAACTACTGATAAGTTATTTTGTTGGGCGTTGATTTAAGATTAGTTGAGGGATTTTTTTAATTAATTTCAATTTCTTGTTTTGTTAAACTTCTTATTGATTGAGATTCTTGAGATTAACTGGTAATTGTTGATTTGTTTTATATCCTTGGTATCAGTACCAGTGCTAAAGCACTGATTAAAGGATTCGTTTAATTAATGTTTGCAATACTATATCATGTTGAAATTTTAAATAATAAAGAAATGGTTTGCCAACTGTCCGCATAGTACTGAACAATTACCGTAAACTGTTGCCAAAAAAGGTATAAAGTAACGAATGTATCACCTTTATTTTATAATCATCACCTCCAGACACAAATAAAGGCTGTTGGTTATGGAAACAGATTCCACGTACAGGTCCATCATGCTCATCAAACTTTTCCAGTAATGTACACATCCGGTAATCCCATAGCTGAACGCAGCCACTGTGAAGACTGGCCAAGATCCAGGGTCTTTTGGGGTGGAAAGACAGGCCCTTCACCCTCGCCGATTTTGTTTCGAATTTCGTTAACATGGCTCTGGAATGTTGAAGCTCACCACACCAAAATAATTGATATTACAGTAGAAGCCTCAAAAAGGCCAAAACCCTAATAATATGTATACTTTTTGTGGTTGTTTGTGAGCGCATTCGTCGATAAATTGGAGGTGGACGTGGACGTGGAAAAGAAAAGAGGTGACGTTTACTGTTTACATTTTTTGTCAACCAGTCACGAAATGACGTTTCAACAGCTGATTTGTAAATTGTGATCTATCAACGTCAACCGTCAAGTCAATTGCGCGGAACATCCCAGGACTTTACGGAAACGCTGATCCGAACTAGTTCATGTCCTGCAACCAAAATCAGGAAAACAGTGAATTTTGTGAAAAACAAAATGCCGATGCCCACTCTCTCACTTGCTATTGAAGAAGATTCAGGAAGTGATGCTTTCGGAGTTCTTGAGGCTATTTTTAGCTACTCTTAGGGCCGAATTTACAGTCGCTCCTTGAGGTTTCCTCAGACCTTAAAGAAGCCTTGAAGGTTTAGAATTGTCATGACTTGTCAAATAGTAGCAAGTGTCCATTCTAAACTCATTGTTCTAAACTCACGACCTCCAAGGAAGTGTCAAGAACCCATTTCACGTGGCTCCGGTTTAACAAACCGCAACATACCGCTCAAATTCGAGTGGTAGGTATCCATCACGTCACTTTGTAACCGGGTTAGAAAACGGTATGTCATTTCTCTAAGCGTTTTGTAACCCGGTTAGTTAAACCGGAGCCACGTGAAAAGAACTAAGGAACGACAATAGGTCTGCCTCTGCAGAAATCACAAACCAGTCAGAGCGAATTTGATTGGCTGAAAACTAGTTTTAACCAATGAAATTCACTCTGACTGGTTTATGATTTCTGCAGAAGCAGACCTTATAAATTCGGCTCTTTAAGCTCAAAATGGAAATACCAAACTCTAACAGGATTGCTCATCGTAATAAGGCGTACGTTCGCCAGTCCCCAGTCGGCAGCTGGTCTGCGAGTGACGTCACTACTATCACTAGCTGATAGTGGCGACATCACCCGCAGACCTCGATAGATTGCTTGCGAATCAAGCTGTGCTTGTGAGTGATTTTTTTCGTGGATTTTAAATGTAGGAAAGGTGATTTATGCCCGTATGCACCATTGCACAAATTCTCTGATTAAGACTTTAGCCGTGATCACAAAATATTTTTCATATGCACCAAGCGTTTTTTTCGCCTATTGGCAATTAACTTTAAATTGCTCGATGGCCTGGAATTTAGAACAAGATAACCGCGGCTAGTTAATAAAATGAGGTTAGGTGTTTTGTTTGTTTTGGTTCCGATTTCAAATTTCATATTTACATTTTACAAACATTTTTGTAAAAAAAAAACTGGAACAAATTTGTGTGAAGTGAGCCAGGAAAAAAAAGAACTGAAATCAGGAATATGGAGGTGGAGAGACATTATTTGACAATGATTAATTTGGATAATGAACTTGTGTTAGATGGGTTTCCGTTTCCAAGGCGTTGGAATGAGAGGGAAAATTATTTTGAAGCCTTGGATGATCTGATCTATAAGCCAATGTCGTAGATCATAGATCTTCTTGAATAGGTAGAAGATGCCCTATCATTATTATAGGGTGTAGTACCTACATTCTATGCAAATTTATGACTTGATTCTTGATTACAATAACTAGGTAATGACTATTATGTAATTACTGTTTATTTCAAATAAAATGCCCTACATGCCCTGGATGTTTTGTTTGTTTGTTTATAAAATTAAAATTCATCGACAAAAACGCAGAATGGGTCTCGCCAACCCCACATAGCGCCAACCCAAAATGGGCTTTTATTGCCTTTTATTAAAATCTATAGGAAATTTGCGACGTTATCGGTGAGTTCCTTTCAGGTGGCCCTCATTACAAAATCACAATTAACTAATTTGAGTGCAAAATCCTTTGGTGCATCGAACCGACATTTTTACCGTGATTACATAATTATCCGCGATTAGCTAATAACGAAAATACGTGAAAATGGTGAATAGTATGAGGAGCTCCGGAACAGCTCCGGGCATAGAGGCTCCGGGGCGTTACGCGCTTATCCCTTCCGAAAAGTGTTTGTTGCACCTGAGTACTCAAGCCCAAAGTAAACCATAAATGCACGAAATTCGGCGAATCTGTTCCTTTCAAATCGGGTTGACACACCGGAGCGAGTAGCTCTAGTGTTTCAAACTCTTGAAAGGAATACAGCTACATACTGGAATGCAGCTTTATATCCTACCGGCGGTTCACTCTCGTACTCTATCCGTTCCAGCGGCCGCACCGGTGCGGCGTGATCGCGACAATCCGGAGCCGTTGATCGAAACGAGTCTGTCGGTGTAATGTACTCCGTCTCTGAATCTGTGTCCCTACTCCGAGTCCACACTTTTTCCTGTTCCACTGGCCGGCGCGGCGTGATCCGATTAGTTCGAGTTTGACTCCGAGTCCGTACAACGTAGACAACGCAAAAGTGGTCCGGACTTGAACTCGAACTTGGACCGGACCTGTTTATTTTGCAGTGGATCAGTTCCCACTGTGAAGATCAGTTCCAGTATTTGGCCCTGATAATAGCCAATTTTGGGTTGGCGAGACCCCATATCTGCGTTTTTTTCGATGAATAAATTTTAGGTATACAGTATACACTAACAAACAAAGCATCCTGGGCATTTTATTTGAAATAAACAGTAATTACCGTAATTACATAGTCATTAGTTACTGGAATCAAGCCATAAAATTGCATATAATACTACCACCCTATCATAAGTTAAGTTAGGGCATCTTCCACCTCTTCAGGAAGATCTACGACTATTGGTTTATAAGATCATCCATCCAAGGCTTCAAAATAATTTTCCGTCTCATTCCAACGCGTTGGAAGCCCATCTAACACAATCATTATTTATCAGTATCCAAATCCTCGTCAAATAATAGGTGGTCCATCTCCATATTCCTTATTTGATTTCTCCCTGCTCACCCTCGCCACACACTATTTTTCCAGTAATTTTTTGGGGACAAAAATGTTTTTAAAATGTAAAAACAAAACAAAACATTCTAACCTCATTTCATTATAGCCGCGGTTGGTTATCCTAAATTCCAGGCCATCCAGCGATTTAAGTTAATTGCCGATTAGGCGAAAAAAACGCTTGGTGCATACGAAAAATATTATGTGATCACGGCTAAAGTTTAACCAGAGAATTTGTGTAATGGTGCATACCAGGCAAATGCAAAATCCTTTGGTATATCGAATCGACTTTTTTAACCGTGATTACATAATTAGCCCTGATTAGCTAATTACGAAAATACCTGAAAATGGTGCATACAGGCATTAAACGTTTAGGATTTTTTTTTTTGACTTATAGTGTTTTAAACTCGGATAATGCATTTTATGTCATAAGAGCCGCTTTCCAGCTGACGCTTTTGAGCAGGCAAACAAGCTTTTGCGCGCGCAAATGCTTCATGCGTGTGTTCGTGTTACAGCCGTATTGCCCTTCGCGAGCTGCTAATTTTTGCGTTTCAAACACAGGACACTGTGCTGCACCGTGCTTGAAGCACACAGCTGGAAAGCGGCTAAAGCCTAGTACTCATAACTGCGAAATTCGCATTTTTTTGACATTGCGTTGACAATTTGACGTTTTATGCGTGTATCAAACCTCAAATTGTCGAAGCAATGTCAAAAAAATGCGAATTTCGCAGTTATGAGTACTAGGCTTAAGAGTTGAGGTATGCGGCTGACATGCAGACAGTTTCAGCTCAATAGGCCGTCCTATTAGGTGAGTGTTCTTGACCCAAACACATCGGCAGGAGTGCCTAGTACTTGGGGCATAGAGAGCCGTTGTAATAAATCAAGCCTATATTCGTAGAGATTTCAGGTCTGTTTCAGCAGAAATCACAAACCAGTCAGAGCGAATTTCATTGGTTGAAACTAGGGCAATAAGGACATACTTAATATTAGGTTTGTTCCAACACGTCAAAAACCGTTCCGTAAACAGTTTCGAAACCACGAATACGAATTTCGAATTTTACGCACACATTTTGGGCTTTGCTCAGAATCGTGTCTGTACATTTTACGGTTTCTTGACGTGTTGGAACAAAGCCATTATCAATTTTTATTCCTCATGTTGGCGAGGGGGCGTGTACCTATATTGTTTTCTTTTTTTGATGACATTTTTTTCTATCTTCTGTCCCGCTTTTTCAAAATTGAGATCTGGCAAATCTGGCTGAATGTGGCTAGTTAGCTGATGAGAAAATAGGTGATTTTAATATTTACCACCCGTTTTACATGAAGAATTTTTTTTTAATGATCTGAAATTTTCTGGCGTTTAAATAAAAGATTGACATTGATAAATAATTCACCCATAAATAATGCCAGATGCTTTTCAATGGCTAAGAAAGTGGAGATGGGTGTCAACTTGCAAGAGAGAAGTATAGAACTTTCCGCATTTACTTTTTGTCTGCTAATCGAGAGAATGTTGTGAAAATAACGCTGAAAAATCGCCAGACGGAAAGTTCGGAATCGAGCAAATCCACAAAACGTTCCGTAGACATTTCGAACGGGGAGCAGGCATTAAAACCACGTATATTCTCATCAGCTAGTACTAGTCACATTCAACCCTGAAAATGCCAGACAAAAAAAAAATGACTCCACTAAACAGTCTCTATCTCAGGGTCTAATAGGCTAAAGGGAGATGAAAACGAGATCTAAAAAAGGGTTGTTTTAGAATGTTAATTAATGTAGTAAAACCAAGAACCAAGTATGCATAAAGCAAAAGCCCCTGGAATCATAACATGTGGTGCAAGCACCCTACGTCAAGGCAAGAAAGGACATGCTGCCACGTCACAACTGGTGATTTGGCGTGGGCGGGCTTCAGATATGTTCGTCACTGGCCTTATGAGGATAGGCTATCCTGTAGTAGTAGTGTGTATTATCCTTGGGGGGTGCGTGCTGACTTGCCTTTACTGTATTCCTTTTACCCGTTGAGTTACTCGGAGCTGCTCAATTTCAAACGCTTGAACGTTCCTTTTAAAAGTGCGTTAAGCACTCGAGTCGCTCATAGTGCATCCCCCTTTCCCCTGATGCACCAAATTTGCGGGGAGTGCAAGAAGCCCTTTTAGGTAAGGACGGCAATGTTATTATTAAAAAATAATGATAAAATCCAAATTGTGGGTTTTGGAGTG